AAGGAGAAATAAGACACTGGGAATATTAGCCAACTCTGATCAACTGCCTCAACAACAGGATCAAGGATAGACAGGAGAAGTTAACTCTTCAAACACTGAGGCTAGCACATTTTTCTCCAATTATGAAATTGTGTGTGGGTTTTCTGTTTTTCATTTGGGAAAAGAGAATTTCTCCGTTTATTTTGAGAAACTACAGCTGTCACACCTTCCTGGCAGAAACCCTTCAGCTTCTATCACCACATGATATTGACTCAACAGCCAAAGCTCTCCCATTTTCAGGCAAATAACTGTTGCCTTCAACTGCAGAAATGCACCTCTGGTGTTCAGTTGTTTGGGGTTTTTTTTAAATGTTATGTATCTTGAGGTCAATGTGCCATGTCTCAAATGACCACTTACATTCTGACTTACCAGGGACAAGACTACTGCAAAAAGCAGCTGGCTAATTAAACATCTGGACAGAGATATCTGAAAGGAATCAGATTTTTAGAAAGTACCTGTCACTGGGAGGAGGGGGAGCAGAAAAGGGAAGAAATTCTCCTTGTTACTCCTTTAAAACAACCTCCTACCACTGATTAATTAAAAGAAGGTTCTAAAAATGAGTAACTTTTTTAGTTTGACTCACACTATGCTTAAAGCTAAATATACGGCAACAGCTCTTATGCTGGCTTAAAGGACTGCTCACACTGATGTACAGTATGAGTTTAATTTCCATATCTTATGCAGTGTAAACCCTCTTTTCTGTAAGGGTAGATTTGCAGGTGTAAAGAAGCCACCAAGTTAACTGAGAATTCAGGTACCTGTTTCAATGTCAAACTTGCCAGCTACATCAGCAGGCCATTCACAGGTATCATGGGACACACAAACACTAACAGATCCTGCCCTTAAGCATTTATAGCATACACTAAGTGTATATATATATATATATAAACATTTTTTTAAAACACTCATACCGTAAGTCAATTTAATCCAAGACAATAAAGCTGATCCTCTTTCATTCATGATAATGTAAGAAATTTAAAATATAAAATAACAACTACAAACACTTTAGGGTTACTAAAGGGCTTCAAAAAATATCCAGATAGGATCTTGAATGCATTTCCTGGTCCCAGAGAAACTTACAGGAGCTCTCCTGTGATCTCAGTAGGGTCAAGTTTCCACTGCCATCATGTTTTACACAACTTATCAAATCTTCGCGAGATTATCTCTAGCTTAAGAATAAGAAATTTAAACTTTAAAAGGTCTTTAAAAAATATTATACATGTTTATGTATAAAATATATATAAAACATCTGACAAAAAATAAAACTGAAAGAAGCAAAAGTCACAGAAGAAAAGAGATGTGTTAACAACCAAAATAGTATCATTTAGTCATGTAGGGGACCAATGACACTTGTCACTGTACCAAAGAATTTCCTATAGCTGTATTCAGCTGCAGTGTCTAATACCTCCTGCTTTTCAGAGGGATGCAAATATATCCAAATTTCCTTTATTTCTGCTCTATACTTTCCTCTCTGTCAAATCTGAAAGCAAGTCATTAGCAGGAGTCAATGTAATCTTGGATATTTACCCTTAATATATTAACCAGCTGAATTTTTTTGCACAGCCTTTAGGAAGCAGCCCTGACAGATGCAATCCATTACTGCGCATTGCAAGTACAACATCAGCTCACAAATCTGTCCCCAGCACACAGGCATTTACTTTTTCTGAGTTCAGTAATAATATCATTGTAAGCAGAAGCTAAGGTACCATTACTATATTGTTGGTTTTGCAGCCAAATTATTTGTCTTCAGCTATCGCAGAAGATCATTTACGTTTTTATTGCCCTTCCTGGAGATGGTTTTGCTCAGTCTACTTACAATCATAGAATATCTTGAGTTGGAAGGGACCCATAAGGATTATTGAGTCCAACTCCCCGTTCTTTGCAGAACCACCTAAAACTAAACTACACGACCAAGAACATTGTCCAGATACCCCCCGACTTAGATCTACACTGAGCAATGCATAGCATATTAAAAGAACATACCTCAGTTGGCACTGCCCTTACTTCCTGGCATCACTCTTTTCTGCAAGCTTCAAAATACCAAAAGCATTTCTCTGAAACTGGTAAACTCGGAGGCCATGGACAGAGAAGGGCTATCTCATATAGATGGACATCAGGCTCTTACTGGTGTTAAAGATCAGAGCCTGGATTTAGCACTAGAAGACAGGAGCAATCTAGCTATAATGGAAGACTGCTGATGCAGTTTACCACTAAATGCTTCCCCCCTGCCAAACACTTATTAAAATTGCACCTGATGTCACATTTGTCACCTATTGCTTGCATGGCATGCAAATACACCTATACCTCAATCACCCATATGCCTTCTTACCAAAAGGTGTCTCATATTGCTTTCAACTACAAGAAAGGGAACGGAATCATGACCTTTCTCAGCACAAAAATTGGAAAGACAATAAATCAGGGTAAAATTAAATCTCCAAGAGATTTCAGTGTCACAGAAAGGTTTGGGTTGTTTTGGTGTGGTCTGTTTTTTTTTCTGGAAGCAAGTACAAAAAGATTCCTCTTAATAGAGACTTAAATTTGATTTGAGAGGAATTTAGATACAACAAATGTGTGTAACACTCAGGAATGTTTGATTTATGATAAGTACATCTGCCATACGTTGTATAGGAAACAGAGAAATCACCCAGCACAGAATGAGCAGTTAAAGTAACATCAGGCAATTTCCTTCATATAAGAGAGTAAAATACATCATGCAAAATTAAAAGGAAGACTTTACAGAAATTAATAGCTTCCCCTCTAAACTCCAGAGAAGATGAAGGAAACAGAGCTACTGTTTGCATGACTATTGTTGGTTAATCTAGTGGGCAGCAATACAAAACATCTACCTGCACAAAACAAGCACACATTCCCAAAGAAGAACATATACTTGATGTCAGTTGCAATCTATCTATCTATCTATATATATTTAATATATATCTACTGTAGAGCTAATTAGAACAGAGAGAACACAAGAATGAATCAACACCAAAAGCCAAAACTACAGAATAATGAACTAGTCTTTTAACACAGACCCAACAGTTACGGCTCCAGCGTATCAACAGTTACATGTTTAATAAAAATATAAAAATCCAAAGTTTCAGAGTTTCAATACATACAGATGTAACTCTCAGAAAGGCAAATACTGGCACAGCCTGTCCTCAAATTCATGGGTTTTGTTAATTACATAGGCCCTTTACCATTCAACACCCTTTGTAAAGAGCTACAGAGCTCTCTCGCCTGAACATTACCCACATATGTATTCTTCAGTATTTACGAGAGCTGAAACTGCCTAAGAGCCTCAGGGCTTTTCTGTACAAGAATTCTTTCAGACAGATATATACAGTAACATTATATAGTTACATTTGCACCAGTAAACTCCCCATGTGGACAGAGACTTTGAGAACAGAATGCTTTTTCTTCCTGCAGACAAACCCTCAGTAGTATTTGTGTAATTCACATAAAAGCCTGAAGTCAAAGAAACTCAAGTGCCCAAGTGACTCTGTACTTTTGCACTTTTGCCCAAGCCAACAGGGAACAAAATGAAGAGGTAGTCAACATCCTTGCATCCATAGCTCCCGCTACAACTTTACTACAAAAGGCTCCTGTGGAGAACAGAAAGTCAGTTCTTTGCAACCCAAGAGTTAATTAATAAGATGGAAAAGAGAAGCACATGGATGTTGGCATAAGGCAGACAGGACAACAAAACATGTGGAGCTTGGGAAAGAAATAACCCATAAAACTGAACCAAAAGGCCACATTCTTATGCAAAACCAGATTTCCTGTTCTCGTCCCACTTTTTTGCCCTCTTTGACAGAACACCCTTGGCAGATTGTCTGGCCTGACAATGGAAAGGTGAAAGCACAGTACAAGCAGTTGCTCCTGCTTGTGCAATCCAATAAAATGCCAAAAGCAGGGTGACCTTCATTCCCGCAGCCAGAAACACAAGGTCAATATGAACGTTTAAAAAGGTTGTCCTGAGCATTCAGCAAGGTTTTTATAAAAACTGTGAAAGGGAAACTTTCCAAAGCTGAAGGAGGAAAGAGAAAAGTCTTTCAGCAGCTGCAAGGACTACCTTATAAGCCTTTCAATTGCAGCAGGATGAGCTAATAAAGCCGGCCCTTAAACCCTGGAGGTTCAGTGTTTAAATTGTGATTCAAATTCACAAATGAAAGGCATCTATTTTATGCTTGCTCTAGTACACAGACAAATCAAGTAACATCAGAAAACTATCATAGTATTTGACTAAACTCAAAAATGCACTGGAGACAGGCAGCAGACTAGGCAGAACATTCTCCAAAACCTTGCCTCCCACTGTCCTACCATCATATCACTGTTCATTGCCTGCTTTTGTAAGATGCACTTTTAAAAGAGGCTTCCTGATCAATGACAGAATCAAGCTTTCAAAGTACACCACTAGGCTCATTCAACCTGTGGATATGAAATATGCATCTAGTTTTACTTTCAATTAAAGCATATACTCTAGCTATTACTCTCTAAACAGCTTTCTACTGGTGATACACAAGCCTCTTCTGGGGAACATGGAACAGCCACCTAGAACATTATTTTCTCTAGCTCAGTTATCTCAACAACTCAGCCACCACTTCTGTATCATTGACCTCTACTGGACAATGAATGGGAGGGAGCAGAAGTTTGTCCACTGTCTGAATGGAAAGATGTCCTACACTAACTTACTTCTAATAAAATTCTTTAGCAATGGGTTCCACATACTACTTCATTCCTGTGGAGAACTAAACACAGTCAAAAGTCTCTGATTTCTACAAGAGATTATTACTTCAGTTCATAAAAATCACCATTTTTGGTAGCTTGGTGGGAAGTTTGGATGCAAATGACATTTCAGTGTATCAGGCAGCTCCTCTCAGCTCATTTCTTCAAGGTTCAGCTTTGAAGCACTGAACCCAAAACAAGCCAACACTGTGACTGTAGAAAAGCCAAGCTCTTACCTGCTTTGCATGTTCTGCCATCGTCTTCTAGCTGCACACCAGTGGGACAGGCACAGCTGTAGAAGGGGTCTCTTGGAGACAGCAGGCACAGATGGGAGCAACCACCGTTGTTTTCTTCACAAGGAGTGTGAACTTCAAGAAACCAAAAAGATTTATTTTCATTTTTCTGGAAGCCCTAAAGCCCTCTTTTCTCCATGAGGAAGAAATTATAGATACCAAATAACTGGCACAAGCTTTAGTGCTAAAACACAGAGGAATCACAACACAAACTGTCTGATTTCCCACACCATTCCCCACCTCCCCACCCCCAGCATCCTACTTCTAGGGGTACCTAAACTGAGATGTAAGCAGTTGGTGGGATGATCAGTTCTATGAAAGAAAGGAAAATGTAATAATTTGTACAATTCCTACATTACAGTAGTGTTGCATTTCGGAAATATCTTTTTCTTTTGCAAAGCTTTTACAGCAAGACATATCCCTGAATCATCAAGAAATCCAGAGGAGCAACATAAAAGGAAAAAAAGTGGGGAAGGAGATGTGTACAGGAGAGGGATGGACATAACCAAATGTTCCTATCTCTTCAGATGGGGAAAAATAGCAGCAAGATATGAAACTGTAATCATAAATAATTATGGATAATATTCCCACTTATTAAAAAAAATACTTGTGCAAGATCTCTACAAAATTACAGTTTGAGTAATCATCTGGACTACTTTAACATAAAAGAACAAAATTTACAGCTCATTTGACTTTGGTTACTTCCACTGACAGTCACAGAGGAAAAAAAGGGTGAGGAAGGAATCCAAGTCTGATCTTAATGAAGTCAAAGGCATCTGAGCTATTTTCAGCATATGCTATTTCCCCATGCGCCATACTTTCTTTGTGACTGACTCAGAAATACTATGACCCAAGCCTGGGACATTCTTGGAGCTAAAAGCAATGACAAGAATTCAGCATAGACAAACTCTTATCTGGAGCTGTGAGATAAACCAGGGTGCTGTGCATACCCAGCAACCACAATGAAAACTTGCTTATGTTCCATCACCAAGATAATCTCCAAACTCCTTTTGCTTACTTTCAAGCCTGTTTCCTCACATCCTATAAACTTTATTGGAATAACAAATGTTATCTTTAAGGAAGCAGAATTTACAGTTGGTATAAATAAAGAAGCCAATACAAATGGCAAGAATGTCTTCCCTAGACAAGAGCTGATTCTTCCCAGAGCTACATCGGAGCTACATTTCTACACCATTGCTTTTAAATCCCATTCAAAAAAAAAACCTACACCAACTGCCACAGGGAATCACATGCACATACAAAACACATGCAGCCTTACTTGAATACTCTACATGTGATTTCCTCTGAAGTAGCATAATACAATATCAAGAAAAAACATACATGTTCATCTAAAAGCTCAAAACTAAATCCCTTCCATACTAAAACATTCGCAAACTATTTGCTGCATATTGAAGATTAACACGATCAAGTCTGGACTGCAAAAAATGGACTTATAAGTACAATATGAACATGACATATTTTGTGGTAATTCTACTCATTAAAAAAAAAAAGTCATGGTAAGCACTTTTTTCAGTTGTCTTTAAAATAATGGCATTGAAAAGATGCCAGGTGAATCAGTATCATTCTCATTCAAATTTTCCAAACCAAGAGAAGTCCCTGAAGTACTGCACTGGATTTTGGATTTTGTTAACAAATGGGATGGTGAGTGAGCTTATACCAATTCAGGTTGGAATTTTCAAAGAAAGGTACAGGATTCAAGCATTTACACCTTTAGCAACCAATCCTCTCACAAGTGTGCACAACCTTAAAACTTCACACTAATCACTTTTCTGATTAACATTTTTCCTGACAGGTAAGTAACAGTCATGCAAAAAGTTTCAGGGAAAAGGAAAACATACAGTATGGCTGCCGGTCTGGACTTAGGACCTGGATGTCCATGGGAGAATACAGGGCAGACAATATTTCTCTTCTTTTCTCTCCCGTCCTTTTGTTACAGGCGTGAATGGAGCGCGTTTGCCAGTCCGTCCAATACAAAGTGTCCCCAGACAACGTCAGAGCAAAGGGATGAGTAAGACTACCTTCAACAACTTTTTGCCTATGTGAAAGAAAGAGCAAGGATTAAAAATGGATTGCTTCCACTTGTTACCATGCAGAATGAAAACCTGGCTTTGTAAAACTCATATAGAAGCTGTCGTCTTTTAACAAATTCACTGGACCAAGAGATTCACTTGGCAATAAAAGTGACAACAAACTGAAAAATGTAAAATAAGGCTATATGCTTTCATAGCAATAAAGACACAAACATACTGGATTTCATAGCATCAAAGTATCTGATTCAGTTCTACACTGACAGCTGAAGATCCTTAACTTCAGGAGCTGTGCAAATACCCAAACACAACTGACTTTTCAATGAAACATAAGTCCGAATGCTGCCCCTCCAATTAAAGCATTACAGGACAACTCTGTCCAGAACTTCAGTTGCACTGAGTCCTTTCTTGTAGCAGACAAAGGAAGAAATTACCTAAGAGTCTCATTAAATTACCTCTCTTTAACTTAGCAGCAGAAACAAATATTTTTCAGATTATTTTTCTAATGTAGAGCAAGGGTCACTTATATTTTTTCTAAGGCTAAATATTTATAATTAATACAAATCAGAAACATTTCAAGATGTTTCTTCAATGACATCATTTAGCCACACTTCTGAGAATGCGTATATTTTCACACTGGTTATTAGCTGAACTGAGAGCCAAAAAACACATGATGTTTCTACCCTGTTTTCACAGGATCCCCAAGTTTATACCTATTGCAATAAATTCATATAATTTAGATCCAATAGTTTTGGAGACATGTATTAACTCAGAGAAAAGATACTTGACAATTCCTTAGTCAAAACACTACATAGTCAGTTTTCACAAAAATTATGCATTTTATGTATACAAAAAGGCATGCCCACACCTTTCAAACCATTTGTGCTATGACACAACAAAGCACTAAGTTATTCACCATACAACTTTGAGAAAGCTGAAGTATCAGTGTCATCCTGAAGGAAAGTAACAAACTTATTTTTCTTATACCTATATTCAGATCTGCATTCAATTTTTTTCAGTTGAAGGGATTTTAGGAAAAACAAAAACCAGCTAACATTTGGCAGGGGAAGTATTCTGTTTTATTTTGAGCAGCATAGTTACTTATTTGCCTTTTCCAGGTTGGGGGAGAAATAAAAAAGTACCCCCAAAATTCTTGACATGTATTCAGACACGGACAAGTGCAAAGTAGACTGACTTTGCCTAATAGCAAACAACTATTAGCATATACATGAACAACACAGATAATGCGGAAAAAAGAAAATGAAAATATTAACAATCTTTCTCTTCTAGAGATAAAACTGAAACTCTTCTAAAATTTCTCTTTCAACTTATCACTACTTCTTTCACCATAAAACACAATAGAATAAATATAAACACTAATTTTTCTTTCCACTCTCACCTTTGCTGTTTCTTTTTGACTAATAACAGCAGTGGTTGTATTCTAATATCATAACAGCTGTTTTCCACTATGTATTGCCCTATTTCCATCATTCTTAGATATCAAGTCTCCCCTTCTCCTGTAATTACATCCCTTGAAATAGTTCCAGCCAATGTGCTTGCAAACTGAAGCTTGCTAAGATACAAGACACAGATTGCTCCAGTAAAATTAATCCACTACACAGAACAAAAATTTCCTTTTTATTTGAATCCTGAAGTAATTCTGAATTGATTCTGGGATGAGAAGAGTGGAAGCATTCGAAACACTACAGATTTTTTTATTGACATGTATGAGTGAAACTTATTTTACTCCATTTTTAAGGAACAGAAGCAACTTCCAAAGTTATCATCTAGTCTGAAAAATTACACAAGTTATTATATTCAAAAATGCCTAAAAGTTCACATGCAGTTAGACATAAGGAACTTTCAGAGTGCACCCTGTACAGGAATATCCTGACCTCAAGCATGCATTTACATACTCTAGCAGCTGAGTAAAATATGCAGGAGTGAGCCAATTTTTTTTTATGCAAAATATGTTATTTTTTCCTAAAATATGATCGGATTGATGGTTCAAGAGAAATCTGCTTGAGAGGTGGTGCACATGCACTGATCTATCACAAAGTAATTTGGACAGACTGATGTAATTAGTGTATTCAAAGGCCTGTTCCCTTTTAGGGGGCCTTTCTCTACCTTAAAATGAGCAGAATAGATTTCACTTGCCAATTACAACTTTAGGGTTTACACATACGTCTAAGTAAAGTTTATACAATTTGCATCTATGTCTGATAACCGCAGAAGCAGCCTGGAAACCTTACACTCTGCCACTCACCCCCAGATAAGACAAACACATTCATGTTGTTAAATGAAAATCTTTCTTTTTGTCTATGAACCTGCAGCCAGCCTTTGAGTTACCACTGCCTTCCGTAAAGGCCTTTTCCCTTGCCTATACTTCTGACTGTCAGTCAGTACTTGTCACTTACAATGCCACCATTATCTAACTCTTACATACTGCTCTCAAAGGAACCTCAGTGTTTTATAAAGGACCTTTATAAAGGTCAATATTGCTATTCTTCTTTTATGACTGTGAAAATCAGGCACAGAACGTATCTCAGTAAAAGCAAAAAAAAATTTGAAAAACACCATGCAAATGCAATGGTTTTTTGAGGGAGGCATATTATTTTATTATACAGACCTACATAAAATAGAACTCCTCCAACTTTTTACCAAGGCAAAATGATTTTACTAACACCGACATTTTAAATGTTACGAAATCATGAAAATGAAAATGTCATTTTATACAATCTGAAGACCAAAACCAGACCATAATGTAGAGATTGCTTTGGCAGGACACTTATGGCATATTACACTCACCCTTCAGGACCAACACAACCTTCCCATTGAACACTGCACAGAATTGAAAACGCAATCTCAAATGCATAAGTCTGTCCTGTCTGAAGTGTCACTTCTCTGTGTCTACAAAAGCCAAAACTCGAACAGCACACTTGGACAGGAGCCACCAAACAAAACTTCCACAGTGTGCTTTCCATCAGTCTTTAGAAAAATCTGCTTCCTAATTGCTTGCTATCTGAAGCAACCTGAATTTGGTTAATTAATAGGCATGGCATAAAGGACATCTTTGGATGGGGCTAAGGACAAGTGTGTCTCAATGTGTATTTCCTGCTGGAAAAAAAGACATTAACAATACTGTAAAATCCCAGTCACTAGTTAGATGTTGTATTGCCTAGGATCAAGGATAAGCATCTCCAACTGTTTTCAAGACAAATAAAAAATCCTGCTGTACAAGAAGGCGATGAACAGTCTATAGGGAAATACTGATACAAATAGTCTTACTTTTAAAACCAGTTTTATAGTATGTGAGGCTATTTTTTGCAAGGCTATTAAGAATTGCATTTAAACAGAACATTAAGGTATTGGCATTATTCCGGACTACTGAAAAAAAAAAGTCTCAGTTCAAAATGAATGCATGAAATGAGAAATAACTTATACCACATTATTGATTAAAGGAAACTTACCTAAAGGAACCATCCAGATTTGCCCTATGAATGAAACTCAGTTTTGCATCAGCCCAGTAAAGTTTCTGTTCGTCAAGATCTATCGTGAGTCCATTTGGCCAATAAATATCTGAATCAACAATTATTTTCCGCATGCTGCTGTCCATTCCTGCCCGTTCTATCCTGGGTGTTTCACCCCAGTCAGTCCAATACATGTATCTGAAAAAGACATACACGAATTAAGCCACAATACATGTTGGTTAGCTTTAGGAACAGAAGGGATAGCAACTCCTTGTAAAGCTTGTAAAGGTATATACATAGAGGGGCATACAGACACCAATGTTTGTCCCCAAAACTTTAACAAAATCAAGTTCCACAGGGCATAAAAGAAGTCCTTCACGAGATCATCTCTCACAAGCTTTGTCTCTATATTGTGTTACTGTTCTCTTAAATGTTTGGCAGTACTTGATTATCATAAGCATTTCTAAGTGAGTATTATCCTGGTGTGGCCAGTTATTACAAGTTAATATCCTAAATCTGAAGCAACTAATTACCCATCCAAGAAGGCAATAACCACAGCTTAACTTCCTTTTGCAAGTCTATAGAGAAAAAAGAATAAAATCAAGTGCCCTGAAATTTGTTTCTCCGATAAATAAAACACGAATCCAGGCAGACTTGGAAAGACTGCACTAAATTTTTGGATGTTTTTTCCCCCTTCCATCCATGTTGCAGTTTCTCTGTTACTCCACCTATGAACAATTTAAGTAGCCTGAACAGACATTAACAAAAAGGACCAGATCAAGGTGTGGCAAATCACACAATATCTGCATGAAAAGCTGAGAGTGTGCAGTCAGGAGAGAAATTGTCTTCAGAAGAGGACAGTCAGTTCACAGCTGGTAAACATTACCCAGCATCATAAATCCAGCTTGCAAATTCAACATGTCAGTGGCACAAACACAACACAGCCAACTCCTAGCACAGCTACCTCAGGCCAGTCAGAGAAATATATTGCTTTCCCAATGCCAATACAGCTATTTGGGGCATGGGTCTGTGTCAGGAAGTGTTTGACCTGACTGAGCCCTCAAACAAAATTAGGTGTCTGCGCACTGGACCAAACACTCCCCAGGCTCCCTGTGCTGTATTAGATCAACAGGACTGCCAGATGGGCACCACCTGGGTAAGTGCACCAAGCCAAGTCCTCCTGGCACTGGAGCTCCAGGAAAACGTGGTACAGAGGCATTTATCTATTCAGCCTTGCAAAACGTATGCTTAGCCAGATTTTTCACAACCTGGATTATCCCAGACCCTCAGATCCCTGAAGACAGCACTGGCTATGCAACCACACTAGGAACCAAAAAGAAAGTAAATGAATGTGCATTGTGAAAACATACATCCACACAAAAAGCTTCATGGTTGTTTTTTTAATGAAAGAGAATGCTGCCCACTTTGGGGATGAAATGGGGACTACATCTGTAATTGCTGTCATGTTCCTCAGCAGGATGGTCTTCCCTTCACAACAAAAGATCCCCCTGTAAACTACAGTAGCTCTGTAGCTGCTTTACATGCAGCTGGGGCCATCAGTTCAGGCAAGGAGGAACAGGCAGCTGTACAGTTATTCCTAGGACATGTCCCTCACAACTCAACTAAAATGTTCTGATCTCCGTGTACATAGTACACACTGATTCAGGCGTACCTCCAGTTCCACGGCACTCACAGCACCTACTTAGACCATTCTTAGACCATTCCAACAATACAGATGGACAAACAAATAGAAATTGCTCACTTGGATCACAACACACATACATCTGAGCGTGCAAGGGTAAAACAAGAAGTTTTCTAGTTGAAATAGTAAAGCTCCCATGCAGATGAGTCCTCCGGTTTCTGAGCTCACTTTAGCCTGGCTGAGGCAGAATCGTGTCCCCAGGTAACTTCCCAAAATCTCTCAGCTCCAGCAGTCAGGACAGACTGCTCCTGAAGAAGCAGCAGCAGTAGCTGAGCTGTCCCACTTCACAGGACAACCTACGAATGTAAATTGCCACTCATTTTGGTTTTCCTTACCAAGTCAGGCTGTAATTTGTGGCAACTCAAACTGTGTGGGGAAGCAGCTATTGACAAACAACAGAAGACAGAGAAAAGCAGACATAAAAAAACCTGTCTACGCAACCAACTGGTGAATCAGACCGTGAAACTGATGTGGCCAAATACTCATTTTTGATCAGGTCAAATCAGTCCTCTGATCCAGCTCATCTGCACTAGATTGCACCATTTGCATTCAACTCTATGGGAATAAAGACTGACAAAAGATGGACTGCTAAATTAAGGAAAACCTGGCTATTAAAGGTGGCTTTGTGCCATATCATACGGCTATGACAATCTCACACTTATTCATACATACTTATTGAAATGTATAAATGCAGACTAAAAACGAGCTTAGACCAAAATAAAAAAATCCCATGACAGTTATTTAAAAGTAAAAACAAAGGAGACAAAACTAGCTAAGGCCTATTAAACCTTTAAAGCAGTTGAAATAAAAAGGATGAAAAAAGATCCCCAAAACTATCATTGAGCAAAATTCCTCTCCTCAAGCCTTCCATTAAAATTGCAGCTTGTCCTGAAGCTCAGTGCATTCAGATGAAGAAAAGGAAAAAAAAAAAGTCTGTAAGCCAAAGGATCCTCGTGGCTTTTCTATCATACTAAAGGAGCTCCAGCTCAAGAACCTCCTCCTAAAAAATACCCTGTTGCATAATTTCATAGGTGATGTGTATTTACCTGTGGCCACACAGAGACTGCTGTACAAAAGTAGTACTTTCAAATCCACACACAAATTTGTCACAGGAAAATTATGTCTCTACGTTTCAGCTCATTAAAGAGATACAAAGCTCAACGCCTTTGTCATTCAGAGGTTTAAAACTACACAGTATTAGCAAAGTTACTGCACCACAAAGGAAGGTTAGCAGGATCAATATGCATTTAGATGACATGTAGAACAACCTGAATGCAGGCAGCCTTCTTTCAAAGCACTTTTCTCTCAAGTTGGACATTTTTAAAGCAACATACCCTGTCATCACCTTGCCCAATTGCAGGGTGTCCCTGAAGTAGTGTAAAGCTGATCCTCCTGATGAACTAGAGTATATTGAGTGCAATAATCAAGAACCTAAAGAGGTAACAGTTTCCCTCCCTCTATGTGCTACACAGAATCTCCATGGTCCATCATAGGTAAGAAAGCCAAGCCATGGAATGGCAAATACAATTTTTGTCTCCATTTAACCTCCACCCCTTTTCAAAGAGGCTTCTGTCCTTTCATCAGGCAGCAGGTGCTGAATTGCCATGAATTATAGAAAATTGGCTCAGGCTTGGGGATCTCTTAACAGATCAAGACCCTGAACTGGGAGTTTGGGTATCACTGTAAGAAGAGATCAGATGATCATCTGTTCCTGCAGCAGGAGTGGGCGTCTCTGGTCTACCTAAGGCTATTTAAAACCATGCCACTGCCACATGGAACAGTTCCTTCCATGGTTCCTACCCCTGGTGCTGACATTAGCATCCTACAAGGAAACAAAAAGAAAAAACCCCAAACATTTCAGCTTAGAAAACGATCAGTCTGACCAGTGGTCTCCCAGCAGTGGTGCTAAAACAGAAGGAGCAAATCAAGGCAGCAACCACCCAGCTGAAACTTCCTTGGAGAAAGAGGCAATTCTCATCAAGTTCCCCTAGATAAGTCACTCACCTTGGACTCTACAATTACCTAGGGCAGTTCCCTTCATCCCTCTTCTCCCACTGTAACATCTAGGCTGTTTTGACATTTTTTGGTGAATATAAGGTGCAACACAACACTGGACATCAGACCTCAATAGGCCATAAAATATCATGTTTTAACTGCACGCTTGTGAGGGATTTCCAAGACTCCACAAAGTGTCAAGCTTCCCTTTTTTTGGCCCTCCTCTATTTTGAGTGATCAACCTAGTTCCAACCAAATTAAGAACAGTGTCCCAGCCGAGACACCATACACTGAGAGTCAGCTGAAGACAGAAATTTTTTTGCAGAACTTACAAATCCTAGCGAAAAAAAATCCATGGTTATTATGGCAAGAATGACACAAGCTTAGCTAAAGCAGCACTGCAAACTTAACTGGAACAGTAACAAGAGAAAATTTTGGGGGTGAGGGGGAGCTTTCTTGATGTGATTAGTTACCAAGAGAAAGAGAAAGGCTACCTATCCTTGAAACAACCCACGGATCTGATGAAGAAAATTAGTCTTCTGTCAAAACTACTGAAATCTTCTTGCACTAGCTGGGTTCATCACAGAAAGAGCCATACAGGAAAAACAGCGGAGAAATTAAGGATTTTAGTAATGTCCAGTGGTAACCATTATGTCTTGCATTTTCCAAATGTCCTGTCCCCAGTACACAGGATCAATTCTTACACAAAGAGCAGACAATTTTGATAGGAGCTTTATGGACAGGGGAGAACATGACAAAAAGCTCCAAGTGGTTTCTCAGAGAAAGCAATCAGTCTGCATGCCAGAACAGTTTATATGTGAGGAACTGATTTAATTCAAGCGGATTTAAATTAACCTTAATTCAGGAGCCTGGAGTGGTAACTGGCATATTATTTAGGGGAAAAAAAGAAAGCTTTTTAAAATTTATTTTTTTAAAGAACACTCGGGAGTCCACATCTCTTATTCACCTCAACAAGAAACAAGCACTTTCAAACAGTCTAGACATCATCAATGTTTCTGGGACAGATGATGGTTTAGACTGGGGTTTTGGTTTTTCAAATATAACCTATTTTGCTGGTGTCCAGTACATTACCAATCCCTATCATTTTCATTTCACCATTTTTAAAAAATGGGTATTTAGCCCAGATAATGTTTCAGGAAAATAAGTAGACTATGCAAAGAATCTCAGTCCAGTACTACCTGTGCTATTATGCCTTCCAGTTTCAGAAGCCAGTTGAAAAGATGCACATTGAATAATAATGAAGAGTCTAAGGCAAGTATTTGGGTAGGTTTTTTCTTTGGTTGATTTTGTTGTTGGTGGTGGTGCTTTTAAATGTAAATTACCGATTTTTAAATACCCCTGGGCCAGGGCATACCATAACAATTGTAAGAAGTTAAAAATATCAAACCCAGTTTGTACACATTAGATTGATCACATTTCAGGACTGAGATCTGGCATCTGAAGAGTTTTGTATCCTGACTGGATTGCAACAGGTCAGTAA